AACTGGAAAGGTCCACACAAGAGTTGTAACCATGCCAGTGAGACCACACCTACAGAACAGTGTCCTCATTATTCAAGTGAGTCCTACTGGGGAGAGATCAGAGGCAAGCCAAAAGCTTCATGACAAAATGTACTGGCCACGGAACTCATCACTTTGGAAATAGAGCGCCAGCACCCCAGCCTTCTTAACACCCGCGACTCCACAGTCAGGCTCACAGGCCCATGCCACAAGAACACCACACAAATGGAGAGCAAAGTGCCCTTGCGGATACAAGTACCTCATGACGTCTATGAAAGGGGCAGGAGAATATGGCAGTTAAGCCATTAATAATGACCAAAAGATGCCCAACAGAGAATTCTATGAATAAAAAAGACCAAGAGAAGCTGGAGATGTGAGGTGCAAGTGGAGGTCTGATTACCACAGCAAGTAATTCTGGAAAAAAAGAAAAAAAAACTTAACTATGATGATGCTACCGACTTTCAATGTCAAATTGTTGGCAGCCGCGCTCAGAAAATAGCGCCCAATGCAGGGCAGCCAGAAGGCCCCGAACTTCCTAATGACAAATCATCCCACACCACTAAACTACATGCTAATTGCGCCTTGGCATAAGGACCAATGAGACCCACCAAATGGTTATGCTAATAAGGCATATGGAGCCGCACCAACCAGGTCAGAGCATGAGAACTATATAAGCAAGCCTCTCCTTCCCCTCTGGGTCCTGCCCAACTCATTTGTTTCACAAAGAGCTGAAGAATAAAGCTTTCTGCAGAAGAATCCTGCTGTTGTTGCATGCTGTTCTTGCCGGCGAGGACAGGGCACGCGACAAGTGGTGCCGAATCCCGGGAACCAGAACATCACCGGCACAGGGAGGACCCTTCAGACATCTGGAGAGGATTCAGAACTGCAGGTCAGAAGAAAGCCCGGAGGGGTAAGTTCCGAGAGGCCCCTGCTTTTTAGGATGATGGTTGATGGTTCTCTGTAAATAAGGAGGCACCATGGGGAATGCACCNACCAGGTACCATTCTAGGACCTGGGCATATTTCAGTTAATAAAATGGAGCAAAACCTATGACCCTACCATGTAAACACCATCATATTTTGAAAGTAACAGACACAGAGGAGGAAGGAAGTTGGTCAGAACAAGGAGGCTGGGAGGGACATGGGCTGGAATTTTATACAGGCTGGTCAAGATAGTCCTCATTGAGGGTGATGATTAAGAGGTCTTCTCGAGAGGAGATGATAAACAAGTTCCAGGAGAAGCACTTGCCATCCCGTGGCTAGATAATCAAGTGAACACTGTGTACTTCTAGAGTCACTTCCCCACAGTGGCCTTTAAAGCAGTGCACAAGCCAAAAGAAAACAAGGCCCATTAGAGCCCCAAGTCCGAGCCCAAGTCCCCTGGCTCTCTTCACACACCTGGGAACCAGGTTTTCCTCACACTCCGAGCAAATCATTCACAACCTGCTCTTTTATCACTGTGCCTCCATCAGCACTCAACCTCCTATGCAGCTTCTTTCTCATTCAAATTGCATGCTGCTCAGATTCTAAAAACTCTAAAGAGTAGGAGGGTTGAAAAGGTTTATTTCAGAAAATTGGCACCCAGGGGCTGCCACATTCGTTGGAATTGCAAAGCCCAGAGAACATTTGGGAGGAGACACTCTTAAACATGACTTGGTTCTAACTTCAAAACTCCCAGGCATCAAAACATACGTGATTTTAGAAAAACACCAGCAATTCTCTTATTTTCCTTGGTTTCAAAAAATAATGTTCACTTCCTAAATCTCTCTCCAGGAGACCCTTTTCCTTGGCCAAGAGGCTATTTGGGGACCATTTGAAGCCCAAGCCAGCCAGCTTAAAGGTCTGCACTGCCTGCTCCAGGGGCTGACCTGAGACTCTGATGCCCCTGTCTTCATAAAAGGACCACACAGAGATCATCCCTGAGAAGTGGACACAGCAGACCCCCGGCACCTGCACCGGGGAATGTCAAACTACACATTTCTGGGCTTCTTTAAGAAGGACAGAGCCCTCAGAACAAATACCACTAAATATATTCCCCAAGGGTCCACAACACAACCTCTAGAAAGAGACCACAGTGACGACACATCTAGAAAACAGTGCCCCGTGATGAAAGCCCATAGGAGGCACATACACTTGGGGCCTAATTATCCTCCAGGTTCAAGTAAAGCCCAACCAGATTCGGGACCTCTTTTCCCTGTGTTTCTATGTGCAGCTGGGTCCAGGAAAGGCCACAAGGAATTCTTCAGCAAGGCTACTGGCAAACAGCTTGGCACCCCCACCTCCAGTAGCCACTGCTCTCAGGGCCTCACAGGAGCCAGCAGGCACATCAGAAGCACAGGCCTTTAGACTTTTAGGAAAAGGGCTTTGAGGTTCCCCTACTCTGTGGCCACATTAGTGGCCAGGTGCCTGGGACCCACGCAGCTGCCATGCAGCGACTCGGGGGCGAGGTGGGTGAAATAAAGGCCCTCACCAGCTCCTCATGCAATTCATAGGAGCCGGAGTCAACAGGAAAGAATGGGCACTTCAGCGGTGAGACCCCAAGGAGCCCCCCCTGGGGAAGGGATGGTGCTGTCAGCAGCCTGTTCCTACTTTAATCCCAGCCTGAGCTTTGGGAAGAGCAGACAACCAGGGTTTCCCCGATAGTCCTTGATGCCTGCTGTGCAAGCCCAGTTACTAACAGTGCCTGATTTCACCCTCCGGAGTACCCCAGTTTGGACACTAAGTTCTATGGTCCCCCTAAGGAAGTGTGACTGATGCAGAGTACTCTGCTGGTTTTCCTATCGCATGGGACACAGCCCTCTCCAAGTGCACCACTGGCCTCAGGCACACTAGGTGCAGACTCCCCATTGTCTCATCTATGCAGCAGCGGCAGAGACAGCAGGGCAGCACTGTGAGGTGCAGCCCCACTGCCCGGGTTCACACTGCAAGCCCCTCACAACAGCAGTGAGACAGTGAGCAAGTTCTTTAACATCTCCCAGTTGAAATCAAAAGGGGGAAAAGCTAATTGCTAAAAGGATTAATCAGTTAATATTTATAAAGTGCTTAGCACGGTGCCTGACACAGGGTAAGCACTCTACAAATGTTTGCTAAGTAAAAAAAATTTGCAGTCTTTATGTCTAACAGGTAAGTGTATTTCTAAAAAGGGATGGTGAGGCAGGGGAGGGAAGCTCTTCTCAGAACATCTTTTAAGTCCCCTCCCTACTCAAGAACTTCTCGCTCTCATACACGCCCAGTGCATGATTCCAGTGGTCTGGCTGGGACAGAGCTGGAAAAGAGTAACCCCAGCCACGAGGCCCGCAGCTCCAGATGCTTTATCACCAACAACGCTGTAACTATCATGAAACCAGCTCTCACGGAGCCGTGAAACAAAGACAGGCATCCCAGGCTGCAGCTAGCCGTCAGAAGCTATCAAATATTTTCCTCAGTTGTTTTACGCCCTCACCTTGAAGAGAGCCCTTTGCCTCCTCACAGATTCAGCAACTGTAATATTGCACATTTATATATGTAATTCAGCTCTTCAAAAGTATCAAAGGGGTTCTCTCAACACCAATTTTAGATGAAACTTAGAACTACTGTAAGATGAAAACATCTGATACATAGCTCATGTATAAAATGTCATGTGATGAACTATACTGAAATCTCAAATCCTCAGAAAGATACCTATCCACAACAGACAAAGCAGGTGCTTGGGACAATCATCCTATAAAAGTGGGCTACACTACACCACCCTGCTTTTTGGAATATTGAGACCAAGTATCGCCAATTATCTAGATATTCAACTCTGTGAAAGCATCAGCTTAGTCAGGCAGGTCTTAGAGTTGTCATAATTATGCCTTTAAGATGAATTCAACCTTTCAGACAGGATATGAACACTCATATTAAGATGATAAATTCCTATGCAACAAAACCACTAAATTGAAAAGAACTAAGTCCCTGGGAGGTCTCGGCTACAAACGGGGCACAGCCACAGACACTGAAGAGCGGGGAGAGGTACAGCCAATGAATGCAATGCGAGATAATTTCATCAAGGGCTGACTTCACAAAGGGGTGGGGGCGGCACTGCATGTGTAGGTACAGGTGCATGTGTTTCTAGGCAAAAGTGGTATTAGATTCATTTTTCCATTTTTCTGTCCAGTGGGTCATGGAGGGGATGTAATCCTAAGATTTAAAAATTCTTAACAAGTAGAAAGAATGCAGGTTGGCTGGCACGCCCCCAAAATATTGAACACCAAGCCAGGGGGATATTAAGAACAAAAACAGGAAGTCTGTTACGGCGAAGCCTAGCGTAAGACACTTTTCCGTCAACCGTTCTTTCAAGAGAGCTAAGATTTTTCCTCCCAACATTTTATAACAATTATTTTTTAATAAATGAAGAAAACCGCGTAGTCATTTTCAACACTAACACCCAATTATTAAAAAGTTTACAACCCTGTAAAACAAGAAAAGCATGAGACCTAAGCTGGGTATTACCCACTTACTTTGACTTTTTAATTCCAGGCAAATTTCCTTCAAAATAATGAAGCTGAATAGGGAGTTGAGCACGCCCTAATTCCGAGGGCACAGCCTCCCAGCCAGGGCAGCCGGCCCACCCACGCGGGCTGCGACCACCCCGGGTTTCCGCCCTCAATCCCTTCAAGTTCCCTTTGGGCTTCAGCACAGAGCACCACCACGCAAGCTCTCCGTTAATTTTTCTCTCAGCTGAAGGCTTTGCACTTCATTGTCACGTGCAGGAATGTTTTCTCCTGCTCATCTCAGCTATTTCCCTGGCATTCCCGTGACATTGTCCCACAACCGCACCGCGAGCTCGCACCTCCACGCTCCAGAGCCAGCACACAGCCCGCCGACCGGGGACTCTCCGCGCCTGCGCCGCTCCCGGAACCACCCCCACTCCACCCTCTCGCCCGCTTCCCCCCCGGTCCCGGCCCTCCCCGGGGGAGAAGGGAAGGGCGGAGTATAGCGCATAAAGGTCACTCCTGAGTCCCCCAACCCGCGCGAGGAGCGAGATAGGCAACCCGGAGGAAGACCGGTAGGCGGTGTTGACTGGGGATAGAACGGGAGGGCAGAGAGGCGCAGGGCAGGGCCAGGGGTGCGGAGGGCTCCCTGTCACCAGGGTCCCTACAGCTTCCAGCACAGGAACGTATGCATGTCCGCAAAGCTATGGCTCTGGACGGCTCGACCTTTGGGATTCTCCCAGATGGTCTTCCCGGGGCATATGGGTACTGCGCCCCCCTCCGTCCCCGGTATTGTTCGCGCTCCTAGAGCGCATTCGAGAGGCGCTGCGGACGGCACGACCCGGCCCCCGGCCCCTACCTCCACAAGCAGCCCGAGCAGCAGCGCCGCCACCCTCCCTGGCAGGCGGCTCATGGCTCTAAGTAATCTTGGGTAGCAGGCATGGGTCAGTTGCACGTCCCCCGCGCCGTGAGCGAAACGGCGGGTAGGCTCCAGCCACCAGCAGGCGGGCAGTAAGGGCGCGGGCGGGTGGGCCGGGAGACGGGACGCGCAGAACCTGACTCCGCCCTGCGCTCCGCCCCAAGCAGGGCGCGCTCCTGCGTACCCGGAGCCGCTTCCTGGAGGGCCTGGGCACGGCTGCTGGGCGCCAGAGTTCGGAGAGAGGTCGCAGGCCGCTGGCGAGTAGAAGAGCTGCCAGTTGTCTCCTTTCTACGGGGAGACGGCCCTGTTACCCTCAGTAGACGCAGGACGGTTTTTAAAAGAAGCAGTCTGCTCGAGGCTTGTTTTGGGGGTAGATAGCTATAGATGAGGCCTTGCTCCATCTTGCATCTGGTGCCTCCGTGTTCTTTGCTCTCTCTGGTTCCTACGAACCTCTGGGGCTGTGTACCATCCCCACATGTGTCTGGAAGGCCAGCCGAAATTCAACAGAGGCAGGCTGCAAATAGAAGGCTCCCTGCAGCTCACCTCTCAAGGAGCGGTGGGTGCTTTTCTCCAGGCCCTGTCTGGACTCCACCACAGTTGGCCTCACAGTGAGGTCCACCCTCCGACTGCTGAGTTTGCAGCCTCCTTCACGTACGCTCAGCCACTTCTCCACCCCCACTACCTTAGTACAAACAGTATTTTTTTGCAAGGTGGCTCAGATCCCACCTCATTCGTGCAGTCATTCAACAAACATTTATTGAACTTGTAAGATGTACCAGGACCCAAGCTAGTGGGCCGGTACGTAGACGTGGGCGAAAAAACTAAGTCTGGAGTTTGAAGGGAGATAGTCACATACACGTGACTCTGAGGCAGAGCTCTGAGTGCAGAGACCCAGGGTCCCGGAGAATAATAAAGGAACGTGAAGGATGTGGGTCTAACCATAAGGGGAGGTGAAGGGAGGAGGGCACTGGAAATAGATGTCACTTTGTGCGAGTCCCAAGCATTTTCCAGCCCTCAGTGTATATACACTCATCTGATGATTGTAAAACATGCACCACCAGAGGTTTTACCTGTTAGAATCAAAACTTGTAAGTAAAGCAGAAAAGATGCCTGTGGGCTTCATTGTCATGCACCATTAGACCAGGGGGCTTTAGACTCTTGAAACTTTGACTTACTTATCAATCTCATTCCAAGGGTCCTCCACTCCCAACATTTTTCACTGGCTACATATGTATTGTTAGCCTTAAAAATAAAGCAGTCAATATTTCACCAGCAAAAAACAGGTTTATTCGGGAATAACAGAGAATTTGCAATTTGGACATGGAAGCTACAGCAAAACCACAGGCAAATCCAGAGAACAAAAGAGGAACTGCTCTTTTATAAAGGAAAGGGCCAATTATGATTAGCACACATAATGTAGGGTAGGACACAGGGAAGGCAGTATAGCACAGAGAAGACAAGTAGTGACTCTATAGCATCTTACTACACTGATGGACAGTGACTGTAATGGGGTATGTGGTGGGGACTTGATAATGGGGGGAATCTAGTAACCACATGTGGCTCATGTGATTGTATATTAATGATACCAAAATAAAAAATAAAAAAAATAAAGGAAAGGGCCAAGATGGAAAGGCTGTTCTAAGCCAAAGGTTCCTTGGAGAAATTTGGGAGTGCCATATTATCACTGCTTCTCTGGCTGGGCTATTGCCTGGAGGAGGAAGGTGAAATCATCCTGCTGGGTGGTAATGAAGCTGAAAGAGTATGGCTTCTGTCTGGTTCAGCAGGGTCTGAGACTTAGGAGTGGTGGACATGAGAGCCCCTGCAGGCCTCCTGACCCCAGGGCAGTAAGGTTTCACTTTAATTTCCACAATATATCCATGTTAGCTGCTTGTACTCTCCTTTGAAGCAGCTTTGTCATCCTACAAGTTCCTCATTAATGGATTAAAGTAGAACTTTGATGCTTGTTCACCATTACAAGTTGAACATGATGCTAATGCCTGACATAGGTCCTCCTGTCTCTGTATTGCCACTGAAAAGATAGTTTTGCTGAGTTTAACTTCCTGTAATTTGTATAAAATTTTTTCAGAATACAAAATTAAAACTTTGATAATGCTTTCTCCCTAGTTTGATACCTCTCCTGTGTGCCCTCCACCTGGTCCAACATGATGGGTGCCACTTGACATGAGTGGGCAATAACATAAGGGGATAGCTGGCCAGGCTGTTGCCCTGAGCGTAAGATAAATTTTAGCTGAAATAAGCAGGCAAAGAGAGGCAACAAAGGGCCAGGTAGTTTATTTGAGCGCAAGTCCCAGGCAAGGTTTCCCAGTCTACAGAAATGGAGACTGGAGAAGTCCCACCCAGCAGGGCAGGCAGCAAGTTTTTGAAGAAAGAAGGGGGAGGGCGAGCAAAGGTATACAGTGGCACGAGGATTGGCTCGCCTAGGGTACGTGGGGGTCTCTCATTGGCTTTTAGCCAGGTACTGGACAGTCACCTCTATTCTTCTAGCCTGGGGAGGGTTCTAGTTAGGAATGTTATCTGATCAGTCTCTGGAATGTTGTCAGACTGGAACCTGTTGGTCTCTTCACCTTGTTTGGTGAGGCCTGAGCTTGTCCAGCAGGATCACCCCTTCCCCTGGTGCCTCCAGCCTTACATTCCAGCCTTTTGGTCATAATGGGCGCCAACTCTATCTGGTTACTTCCGGCTGACAAGGGGTGTCAGGGTTGGGGATTTCCTAGCATGTAGTTACCCTGCTCTGACTGCAAATATCCTGCCTTGCTTTCTCTAGAGGCTCTCACCTTATTTTGTCTAAGCTTATGGTCCTTGTCTCATTTCCCCCTCTACAGATAGAGACTCTAGCTGCTGCTAGGGAAAAGGGGCAATGACCGCTCCGGCTGCTTCATGCTGAGAAGGGGCACAGTAAAGGATGCAGCTAGGTTTCCATCACTGATCAACTGAGAGGGCCTCAGAAGGTTGGTGCTTCTATTCTGGAAGGACAAACTTGATGAGATTAAGAATGCATGGCTGAATATGAGAACTAGAAATATGAAGAGTCTAATTGAGAATCATAGCCACGTATCATGGGGAAACTAGAATTCTGGATCGAGTTTACATCTCAATGACTAGTATTAGGATTTAGTATAGATAAGGCTGCATTATTGAAACAATACTTTTCTCTAAAATCACCCTCATTTTTATTAGAAGTTGTAATAACACTTGGCTTTATTATTTGCATAAGTGCATCAAGAAGAGCAATTGATTACACAGGCTTTTTAAATGTGCTTTGCTGGAACTTTTTGTAAGGAATTTCAGATTGAACTTTTAAAGGCTTCTCGAGGCCAGACAGCTAAGCCAGACTTGCCATCAGGTTGTGCCTGCAGTACCTGTACATTTGGGTGAATTCCTCTCTTCTTGAGGTTCCCAAGACATCCTGAGGTTCCTGCACCTGCCAGGAAGTGACCTTCCTTACTCACCTGGTAAGGCTGCTGGGAACCCTGTAAGCAAGGTACCAGGCCAGTTCTCCCAAGAGGCTTTGTTGGCTTTATAAAGTAAATCTTAGTTTCTTAAAGTTGTCTGTTCATATCTGAGTTTACACATGTGTCTCTCAGGTATGACGTTCCAGTCAAAGCCTTGGTAGTATAACCAGTGTTTTTAATTGGTCCTCTCACAAGGAAAGCAGATTCTTATTGAACTTATGCAAATAAACATACTGCCATGAAATATGAAAATAGTCACTGAGAGTTTTTAAATTCTGGAGGGATCAGGTAGAGAGAAAGATATTCAATTCTGCTTATAGAGGCAGTCATTTACTAAACTGTTGTCAGCTTAAGAGAAAAAGCTTAAAACACTTAATCAGCAACATTTGAAACAAAAAGCCACAAAATCATCTTAATCCTATATAACTATATAACTATATAATCCTATATAACTAATACCCGTTCTGCTGAAATCTAGTTCTTTACTAGCTTAGGAGTAATAAAATAGTGACTATAAATGACAAAAGACTTACAAATGACAATGATTAAATATCTGATGAGAGCTTACTGTAAGACAATTGACGTAAGGAAATTCTGATATTTCTGTAACACAAAACATTCAGTAACAAAGTTTAGCATTATTCCTTTTGACAATGCTTTCCAGGTGATTAAGCAGGTAATTATATATCAGATAAATAAGCTAAATTAGCCAAATACTTTCTCCAATGAGAAAAAGTTCCTCTGACATGTTCCAGGGGCCCTCTGGAAAATATCAGAGTTAACTAGAGGTAAAAGTACCTTTTTTAATTTGATTTTGGGGAGCTGTTAAAAGTTTTAAGGCACTTGCTTAAATAGCCTAAATAGAATCATAAGTCACTATGAAACAATACTTATCTATTTTAACCAGAATGACAACAAAATACCTCAAAGGCGAATATAAAAGGTTACACAGTTGTTAGCAAACTTTAGCTTTTAGTCCTTTTAATATTAAGATCTCATTTTCTTAAATACTCCGACAACTCACTGAGACTTTAAGCATGAGAAACTGCTTTGATAAAACAATTAGAAAACCTTTTGCAATCTTTCAACATTAAAAGACTAACAATTTAAGAAAACTTTGTCTTTTTAACTGAAAACAAAATTCTAATTTTGCTGTGTACTTGATATCGAGACTCATTTGCTT